CCCCCCTCCCCCCCAGAAAAGCCTCGCCCCCCCGCGGGGTTCTGGCCCCGGCGCCGCTCAGCGACGGGGTTGCGGCCAGGGCGCTGTCCTGCCGAGCGGCACGGGAGCCGTGCGGGGGGCACGGGGCCGTTGAGCCCTTCCTGCCGCACGCCTCGGGGAAGGGGCTGGCTGGAAGTCTCCTCCTCGGGCACCTTCTAACAGGGCAAATTTTTCTGGCAGACAGCGGAGAACAAGTTTTAGTCGATGTGGAAGACAAAACCAACAAGGAGATAACAGAACACATTAAAAAAATCTTGGGGAAAAGCAAGTAAGTAACACAGGCGAGTGCGCATCATAGTATGAGTGTGTAGAGACTTCATTTTATCAGAGATGAGGGCTATTGGCCGGATAAAGTCCGCACAGCAGGACCTGCTTGGATGCCCGGTGCTCCAGTGAGCGAAGCTGGAGGGAGAGGGACTGCTGGCAGTAACAACCGGATCTCTCTCATTTTAGAGAAACACTTGAAAAAGAGGAAAAGGAAAGAAAAAAACTATCACACCCTGCAACTTTTGGTCCCAGGAAATACCACCTGCGAGAGTGCATGTGTGAAATTGAAGGTCAAGTTCCCTGCCCTGCTCTTGTACCACTTCCCAAAGAAATGAGGGGCAAATACAAAGCAGCTATGAAAAATGAAGCGTCAGCCTGACCCCTCCAGCTGTGCTCCCTCCCGCTGGGATGATCAAGGTGCTTCCCTGAGAGACAGCACTATTGGCCCTGGGAGAAGGACTTACATAGTACAAACATCCTTGCCTCCTGTCACAGGTAGAATAATTCAAGGGAAAAATATACTTAAATAAATCTTAAGTTAAAAAATAAGTGTCAGCTTTAAAAAGTATTGCAGTCAACTATGCCCAAAAGCAAGGAAATTGGCACAACCATAGTCATTTCCTACTCCTGCCTACTTCCATCCTGCCAAAGCATCTTTTAAATTCAAAACCACTTTTGTGATTCGTATGAGACAGAATAATTTTTTAAAGTAATTTTTTCCTAGAACTCTCTTGAGAGTTTGAAGGCAGTCAAGAAATGTACCTGCTACTCAGTGTTGTAATAAAGGAAAACAGCTAAACCTGTGTGGAGTTTTCTTGTTAAAAATGATTTAGTTACTACTCACAAAAAGTTAAAGCCTCAGTTTTTAAATACGCCACTAGTGTAGCTGACATTGCACTTCCGAGAGGCATTGAGAGTGAAAAATAGTGTATCTGCAGTAAAGAGGAGTTTTAAAGTTGTATTTGAAAGCCATGTTTTTTGCTTATTATGCTTCCCATTTTTTTCCAATTACTCTTTTAAGTGAAAACAGCTTCAGAAACAGACTGTTTCTTTAACAGTCATGCTCAGGGAAACTATCTGGAGGATCTATCAACTAAAAGTAAGTTCTAGCCAAGCCAGCTGTGCTTCAGAATCCAGTGATGTTGAGTGTCTGCATCCTGCGCACGGCAAAGTAGGAACCACACCCAGAGCTTGAGATCATCAGAACTCCTCAAGTTAGACATTCCCTTCACCAGATTTAGGCTAACAACAAACCTATCCTGACACAGTATAAAACTAGCATAGACAATTCTGTAGTGCTGGGAATGTGCTTCATGGTTTGCACAATGCTCAAGTTATAGTAAGAATATATTTCACCCTGATCAAAGCCTGTGTTAAAAGTGATCAGACATAAGCAGAACACAAAATAAACATGTTATTTTATTTCATCTCTTACAAAGTTTCCATAGAGTAGTGCATGCAATTTTAATAAATGTCAATGCTACCTATTGAGCTTTATAGTTAAATGTCTTCAGTGTGTTGTGCCTTGTAAGCTCCACAGAAGTCCAAAGGCCAGCACAAGGTTTTCCCTTTGGAGAAGTACGACTTTAATGTTAGATGTCTAGTCTATCACTTAACACTGACAAAGATCATGAGGTATGCTTGTCTCCTACCTGCTTGTAAAAATTACTACATACACAATAAGGATAATTTATTAGTGTGTTAGACTGTAAAATACAAGGCAGGATATTCGCAACAAGAGAAAAGAACAAACACTTTAATAACATAAAAGCTGAAGCCACTGAAATAGTCCTTTCCTGTTGAAACCAAAAGAAATTCTGAGTTATAATGCAGGGGATCTTATTGACTAGCAAACGAGTCTGTCTTAAATAACTATTTTATAGTATTTCTTTTTAATTCCTGCAATTTCTCAAGCTTAGCTCTGTTAACACATACTCCTGCTGCCTTCATAAACCTGGTGGCACTTTTCACTTGAGTCTGTTTACAGGTCGGTCCTCTGCTATTCACTTAATGCGAAATAACAGTCATGGGCTCACAGTTTTCTAAATAAGGATATCTCAGTATAAAAACTTCAGGAATTTGCCTTTAATCAAGACAATCAGTTCTGCACACCTTACACCTTCACTTGGACTATACCAGTATGAAGAAGGTCAGTTGTCCTTGAGTGCCTGCTCTGTTATTTTGATCAGTTATTAGTGTCACTAAATGAGGATATGAGTATTTATGACAATTCTAGAAGTCCCTACCTCCACCTATCAATAACAAAATAAAACTACAATTCCTGCTCTTCAGGTAGTGCAACTGACTGTGTCTAAAATCCTATCCCATGCTTGGACTATAGCCATGCTATTCCTGCATTATCAGAAGCACAGTTAAAAGCAGTGTCCCATTCCCGAAGAGTCTGCACTCCTGAGTAAGCCTAATGGTATTAGTGTTATATAGTGTGACCTGCCCTCTTTTCCTCCATTTCGACTTTAAATAAGCACACCCTTTAGGCTAAGCCCTCCCCACCACCCTTTCAAACACTGATGTCTCATGAGGGGGCTCTGACTTCCAAAGACAAAAGTCACAGCAGCTCAGGCTCAGTGTTTTGCAGAGGTTTGGGCTCACTTGTCACTGAAAATGACCCTACATTTTTAGATACTGTGTCCTCAGATACCCAGCTCTAAGCCCTTGTACATCACAGGTGCTGACCATAACCCACAGTCATACCCCGGATCACAAAATCATAAGCAAAATGCTTCATGAGAAGCTTCTTATTTAAGACAGACATGTTTACAGTTTCTTCCATGCAGTATTAAATATACAATGAAACTGCCTTTTGTCACTATCACAGCAACAAACTTCACCCCCAGCTCCCATGTAATTCCAGTTTACTGGCACTTCAGCTTTCCCCTGTAAACAAGATTTCTTTTCCTAAAATGCCATGCATGGCAGAGACCTGGGAACATGATCATCCTGTCACCCGGAGAAGGAATGCGCAGGTTCTGCAGGTTACGAGGAAGGCTGCCCTTCCTATTACTTAAAGTGGTGCTAGCCTGGTTGCCCTGCTCCCTAGGAATGAGTGTTTAAATACTCACGCACACAAGTAGGTCCCTGATCCCAACACAGCTTTCTCTGTTAAACTGTAACTTTTAATCAGAGCATTTGGGAAACTAGAAGTGATGAGAAGGCAGCCTCCAAAGTTTACTTGGGAGTTCTTGTAAGCACAAAAGGCTCACTAATGAGATCAGTTTGCAAGTTCTTTCCCTTGAAAGAACCCCCCATGAAGTCCCTTTTCTGTATTGGTATTGCACATAGTTCATCTGCAGCTTATGTGTTCTGCAGCTCAAGAATCACAAGCCTTTTAACGTTACGGCAGTAAGTCAGCCTGTAACACTTGCACTGCTGTCATTACCGGAGGATACGTGAGGCACAGGAACTTCAGAAAACTTCTGGTCTCCCATTAGTTGAAGCTCCTTTTGAAAGGCCAATATTACAACCTCTACAATAACTCTAAAACAGAAAGGAGGAAATGGAGGAGGTGGGTGACAAGACAACCTGCAACCATTTCCAAATTGATTCCCTATTAACACTTAACCATTTTGACAAAAACAAGCACATGATAAGACCAGTCAGCTTAAAAAAGGCTGTAACAAGTCACTTTAAAATTTATTACTAAAAGTGTTCGAGACCAGCAGCATGCCAGCATTCCTCAATTTTCATTCTCCAAGATCAAGTAGTAGTGGAAACGTCTAAATGAAAGTGCATAAAACTCAAGATTACAATTCCCTCTCACAACCTATATTCCTCTTTATAGTTATTTGCTCTGCCTTGACATACTTACACAGTGAACTTCAAATAATCATTACATGACCCTGTTGCTGCTTCAGCAGTTTGATTTCTCCTTCTGCTTTGCTAACGTGCGCTTCAATTCCTTCAAGTTCTCTGTCAGTACCTCCACCTCATCCATTCGTCCACTATGTTTGGCATCAAATATATAAGCTTTAATATTATCTATCTGTTGGAGAAGCAGTTCTTCCTCAATAACCTCCTCTCCTAAGAGCTCATTGTCATCGTCCACCTCAAAGGGATTGGTAGAGGATCCCTCTTCAAAGGGATTCCCAGAATTCCGATTGTCCCGAGCCTTTTGAGATATATTTTCAACCTCTTCAAAGGGATTTGAAGTACTGATGGTTGCTCCACCAGGCTCTTCATCCTCCTCCTCATTTTCAAATGGGTTATATTCCTTTTTGTCACTCTGTAAAGTCGTGTTAGAAAAAGAAGCTGCTTGAGAAGCACCTTTGACAAATAGGTTATCAGGCTCTTCCTTCAACTGAGGAGTATTTGCGTCATCTTCAAAGGGGTTTAGAGATGCTGTCTGATTCTGGTCTTTGTCTCTATCACATGGCGGGACATGTTGGGGTTTGACCTGGACAATCAAGTGCTCTTCAGCTGGCAGCTGTTCAACAACAAGAGTTTTAAAATTTGGGTTCCTTTTGATCTGAGTAATATCTAAATCCAAGGCATGTGCTATCAAGTTCTGATCCTCTTTTTCAACTTCACGCTGATGCTGCCTGACTTCTCTGAAGTCTAAGGAGCGTGTCCTTGTATGCTGAGACATGACTCTGTGGTGTTCTCTTTCCCATTCTTTTTCACAAAGCACCTGAAGTTCCTCCCTCTGCATCTCCTCCTCTTCCGCTTGTTTTCTAGAAAGCTCAATAGCTTTCTGAGTTTGCTGCTGATCATACTCATCCTGAAGTTGTCTCAGGTTCTCTTGCAACATACGGACCTCATCTATCCGATTAGCTGCCTTTGCTTGCTTAATAAAAGATGTGATATTGTCAATCTGCTGAAGAAGCGGGTCTGCTCTCTCGCTCTCTCTCGATATGCTGGATGTGGGTAACCAGCCTTCGGATTTCCTTACTGTTCCTTTTTTCAGATGAGTTGCCTCACCATTAACTGTGGCTGCAGACCTGGAGATCAAATCTTTCTGCTTTTCTTCTTGTTTTCTGTATGCTTCAAGAGCCACCTAAGACACAACATTTAAGAGAATATCATAAGCTTGAAAAATTCCATTTTTATATCTATAGCTACAAGAAGTTAGGATATCTACCTTAGACACTGCCAGCTCCCACTGAAAGGGACAAGCGGCATTTTGGGTTATGTTGTGCATTTACATTTTCCCCACTCTTCAGAAAAAAACACCTAGGCACAACAGCTATTTGCAAGGAATTCAGTTAAAGTGATTCTCTTAATCTCAGGAATACATCTGCCTGGTAAGTACCCTGGAGTACATTTTCAGGTCAAGGTGAAAAAGCTGACCTCACAACACGAATATGCTCAAAGAGAAGTGAGCATCACACTATGCAAAATGCCTATTTTCATAGTTCTACCTAGATGCTTCTGTTCATCTGTGAAGACGCTTACCAAAATCCCATCACACATGCCTATACAAAGTTCAGGCTGAGCAGAAGCATTGATGGTACTGCATACAGAGCAAAAGTGGCAGCTGTGCAAAATTTGCAGAAAATGTAACTGTGCCAAGAGTGCTCACATCTGAACATAGGAGCTACTTCTGTAATGAAGCATCACACAATGTTAAAGGTCATTAATATGATTAGATTATGAAATACAATATATCACCAAGTCTTAGAGAATAAAAATGCATTCTTCCTCAAGCAACTGCACCAAAAATTTAGCAGGATTCTCAGCTTCTGCCTTGAGATAAAGTTGGTTCACTGAAATATCAGATATCCTCCCTCCCTATCCTTCAGATAAAACAAACAAACAAACAAACCCAAAAACCCTTCTCTCCAAAAAGGCCTCCTCATTCTAGACATATGTCCTTTTATGACCTAACAAAGTCTCCACGCTCATGGAAATGAGTTCCACAACACAAACTTCAAACCCACAAACTAACGTAATATGTGCATCTACATCTTTGCAAAAGGTCCCAATAAAATGTGTAATAGATCTCAACTTTTCTTACCATTTGCAATCTTTTCTTCTTCAACTCTTCATACTGGTCTTTGGTTGGCAGGGACATCAGACCAAGGAGCTTTTCCTGGCAAAAGTTAAGCATTTATAGTGTTGCTTGCAGGCATTCAGCCAATCTTCAAGTACTCAAGAACAGAAATACCACTGAGAGAATACCACAAATAAACAAAGCTTCAGTCACTGCTGCAAATTTTTAGTTGTACCTGAGCACAGCTTCACTGCCATAATTATATTGTTACCTAGGTTAAGACCTCAGCAGAGGTCTTGCCAAGATGCAAAGCATGCTTCCCTTTTCATCCCCAAACTCGATAACGGTCAGACTACATTGTCTCCATTTGAGCCAGCTCACTTAAAGCTACCTCAGGTCCTTTGAGAACTTGCAGAAAACACGTAGAGCTAAACCTTCTGTCAACAGTTTCAAACCACGGAGATGTCTAGCAAAGAGAATATGACATAAAATTCACATTCAGCTCATAGCATATACTCCACTTACCTGAACAAAAAGTGTTGCGGAGTATCTTATCATTCTTTGAAGTTGCAGTGTTTTAGGATGAGGTTGGAGCTCTTCGTGCAAACCGAGACTCAAAATCTTCTTACTGAATCAAGACACAGATACAAGCTCATCAGTTCCAAGAACAAGCACTGGGGAAAATTCAACAGAAAGGAAGACAAGTAGTAATAGAGAGGACTTCATATGAAAATTTTCTGTTGTCCTTTGAGGTAAATCCTTCTGAACATTAGAAATGATAATGTTTTTTAGAACTATGTTTGCTTCCTCTGTGCTTACTTATTTCCAGTGCAAAGGAATGCATGATTTTTAAGGCTGGAAAACAAAGTAGAAAACAATGGCACACAGGAACAGTATCCCTTTCAAAATTCTCTTTACAATTGAGCAGACAAGTTCATTATTGCTATGAATACATAGGCAGATGCTACACAAGCATGGAGCCCCACAGTTG